GGGATGGGATGGGATGGGATGGGATGGGATGGGATGGGATGGGATGGGATGGGTGGGAACAGCCTTTCCTGGGTGTTCATCTTCTTCCCGGGTGGCTTGGTTTAGCAGTGGTGGGATTTCTGTGCGACCATGGCGAGGAGGTATGTGAAGGGTGTGCTGCAGAGCCCTGCACTTGGCCGGGGTTCCTGTGCTCCCCACGGAGATCACAGAGCTTGGGTTCTGGGGGCTTAGCTGGGGCTGGGATGAACTGGGCTGAAGAGTTGCCCCCTTCACTTGCCAAAAAGTGGATGGGACATCCCTCACACTCGGTGTCTTGTGCTCCTGCCCTGGCCTGATCTGTTCGGTTCTCCCCTCCGTGTCCGTGGGTTGTTCATCTTCCCCTAACTGCTGGACATGGCTGCATCCCTGCCCAGCAGAGCTGCCTGGCTGGGAGAGCCCATCCATGGTGGCTGCATGGGCTTGGAGAAGCTGTGGTGGAGAAGGTGGCCTTCTCGTTAGCAGTGGGCTGGTTTAGCAGAAGACTGGCCAAGCTCTTCCATCAGGGTTTGGGGTACAAACGCGGTGCGTTGGACTCCCAGCCTGTCCTGCCATTCCTTGTCATGGAGGCTGCTTGAAGAGAGATGTTGTGAGCAGGCTTTAGAGCATGAGGGAACGTCTGTCCACATCAGGACAACTGGGGGACCCTGCTGAGATTTGGAATTTTCCTCGAGCGTGGATCCTGGCAGCTGGTCCAGACCCACGGCAGAATGTTTCCTGGACCCCACATGTCCTGGTCTGTCCCCAGACTGAGCCCTCACAGGGCCGGGTGATGGAGAGGGGCTGAGAGGCTTCACAAAGGAGCCCCCAGAATCCTGCTGCAGGTAACAAGCTTTAACAGACGTGGGCTGTGGTACCTTGGCAGACTGGAACTGCCTGTCCCTGGGCAGCTGCCTGGCGTTTGCCTGCACGGCTGGGATGAGATGCACCCCACGGGTGGTTCGGACACAGCCAGGCTCAAGGTGGAGGAGGGGGGGCTCAGCATCCCTCCTGCAGCACAGCATTGTCTGTACAACATATGTACCCACCTCGGCAGGGACAGGAGGGTCTCTCCCTGGCGGGGATGTTCGGTGGAGGTGCTGGGGTGAAGACTCGGGTGCCTCCCTGGCAGCAATAAGAGGGGAGCTGGCAAGGTGAGGTGGCACACACTGCTCTCCCAGCAGACTGGATCCCTGAAATGGGAAACGACTTTGTTCCTGCTGGGCCTGGCTGTCTGCTGGGGGAGGACAGAGACGGCCCCTGTGTGAGCCCTGCACCAGCAGTTGGTGGCAAAGACAGGAGCAGATTTCCAGGGACAACGCAGCAATTTGGCTTTGGGATGGGTAGGAAGGAAAGACAGAAATACATCTGGATGGTCCCATCCCCGTTTACTCTCAGGTCCAGGGCTCATCCCATAAAGCAGCTGGAGAACACAGCCCTGTGTTCAGCATCTGCCAGCCAGGAGGTCCACAGTGTGCTTAAATATGGGGCGGAAATCCCTCCGAGGCCACGGGGCAGCTCTTCACCCCACGGGTCTGCATCCCGCTGGCAGTTGAGCTTCCCCTGGCAGAGCCTCTGGCTGTGCTTACGCTGGCAGCCATGCAGCAACCCAGCGGGATTCGTTTGTTTGACCCAGCAGCAGCATTGACTGAAAAAGGCGATGTAAACCCTGCAAAGAATTCAGCTGCTTCCTGAGCTCCGGGTGCCGGTGCCAAGCGCAAGGGTGCCCTTCCCAGAACGGCGCCCGCCTGCCTCCATCCCAGCAGAGCCCACGGGACCCGCCTGGGGCAGCCGGACCTTTTGCTGTGGGAGGACGGAGGGAGCGCCGCAGCCCTGCTGCACTCGCAAGTAAAACCTTTTCCCATCTCTAAGGAGCTTAGGTCCTAGAAATCCTCCTGCTTAGGCAGAAACTTGTTTGCCTGCAATCCCTGCGAGGGCGGTTGCTTCCCAATCTCCCCGGCGATCGCATTCGCTGTCTGGTTGCAACAGGCGGTTGTGCACCATGTGCAGCGTTGTGATGAATATTAAACCAAGGGCAGCCCTCAGAGCCGGGGCCTCTGAACCCCCCCCCCCGGCTCCCACGGAGCAGCAGATGAGTCCTCAGCCCTTTGCCGGAGCCCTGAATCGTGGTGCTCCCCTGCCCGGCTCGTTCTGACCACAGAACCGTCTTTGTTCGACATTCCCAGGACCCTGGATGCATCGCATCTTCCGGATTTTTCTCGCGGGTGTCTCGGATTTGTACGGGGAGCAGCAGGAGGGTTGTGCTTTGCAAAGCAGGGTTATTTTAGCACCGTCCTAATGAATTTGCTTTAGTTCTTATTCTGCGTGCAGTCATTTTATTCTGGTCTCTATGAAAGCTTCATTTGAATTTAAGTATTTTAGCCCCTCCTAGCTCTCCTCCATCAAAATTAGCTCCAGTTTCTCCTTTTAAGACATTAGTCTCGTTTCTTATTGTTATATAATTGTAAATGTCTATTTTTGGTTGGAAAAGTACTAAGTTGGGTGTATTTAAAAGTCTGTAAACTGAGTAACTCCCCAGTTGTTGGACTGCATCCATGACGCCATGCAATTAAACCCCACTCCATTGTGGCTTACGTCCTGTCATCTTCCACTTCCATTCTTTGAGCAAGATCAAGCCTTCCTGGCGCGACTCTGCTTCACTGTGCAGATCATGTTGGTCTTCTTAAACTCCTGCTGATGAAACGCCCACCTTTCAGTGCCAGGTGCTGCAAAGCTGACTTAACCTCCGTGCACCCTGAGACAAATTTACCCATGACTTTGGGAAGCTGCCTCATCCCTTGGATCCAGAGCTGGGCTCCCCGCTCCCCGTCCCCTGCGCCCAGCTCACGGAGCACGGGCTGTGCACTAACGCAGAGCAAGGCACAGCTTTGCCGAGGAGACCAGCTTCATCTTTTATTTGGTGGTGGGAGTAAACTGCTTGAAGGAGGAACAGATTTTATTCGAGCAAGGTTACTCTGCTGTAAATTGGAAGTAAGCAATACCCGAAATGTTAGTATCCAGAAATTGCTTTCTGGCTGGCACAGAAGACGTTCTTCAGTTGCTTTCCCTAATTAGGCTCTGATTCTGCTTTGGACACTTCATAGAATCATAGCATAGTTTGGGTGGGAAGAGACCTTTAAAGCTCATCTAGTTCAGCTCCCTGCAGTGAGCAGGGACGTCTTCAACTCCAGCAGGCTGCTCTGAGCCCCATCCAACCCAAACGTTTCCAGGGATGGGGCATCTACCACCTCTCTGGGCAACCTGCTCCAGGGTTCCACCACCCTCAGCGTAAAGAATTTCTTCGTTATACTTAGTCTGAATCTCCCTTCTTTTAGTTTAAAACCTTGACCCCTGTTTCCATCTTTCTTACAAGCCCCCTTTAAGTATCAAAAGGCTGCAGTGAGGTCTCCTTGGAGCCTTCTCTTCTCCAGGCTCTTGGGCTTTCCCAACCACTACCCATCTCTAGGTCTTGACCCCTGGTCAAAAACCTGCAAGGACTTAAAGGATGGAATAAGCTGGCATTAGCAGGAGTGCCTGGGTGTAGTCCAGAGAGCAGGCTGAGTCATGCCAGTGCTGTGCAGCCCCATCCCCGCTGAGAGCCCATAACCTCCCTTCACTGCCCACTCAGATTCTCAGTTTGGAGGTGTCTGCAGTGGGAAGGGTGAACCCTCCATACCAGATGGCATCCTGCATCGGTAAGCACTGCTCCATACTTCTTTTTAAATAAATATCTCATTAGATATTTGCCATTCCCAAATTAACATTTAATTCGTGTTTCATACCCAGAAAAATCTCACCACAGTGTTGCTGAATTGTTGACAGTGATCCTCTTCCTTTGTGAGTTCTGTCCCTATTAGGCAAATTCCTTGCTCATGTATTCTTTTCAGTTACTAAGGGAACATGAATCTTAATAAAACTCAATCAAATGTTCCTTAAATAACAGCTGCCTTCATTTAACTGTCTTATCAACCATATTTTGCTTTGCTCAAAATCCCTGGGAAATTAAGATCGGATTCTTCACACAGTAATGAAAAAACAACACACGCCAAGTGTGAGGGAAATCTTTTATCCTGAACGCTATAGGATGTAATCCTAGGGATATTTAGCAGAAAAACTTGCATTTTGTCCTGAATGTGCCTGTTCCTCCCTGCACTTTTGATGAGAGTCAGTTGGGCATCTCCAGATACATGATTTGTTCTTGGGTCAGCAAGCACAGGGCCTGTCCTGAGCGTCTTTGGCACCAAGAACCACGAAGGAGGATTTTTTAAACTCAGATGTGTCTGTGGGAAGCATGAATCTCTCCTGAGCACAGAGGAGATCAGCAGGGAGGCAGCGATGCCCCGGCACTGCAATGCTTTCAAAGCCCAGGGGGTTCCTAAGGGCTCACAGGGCACACACGTCTCCTCTGCGAGGAGATGGAGGCTGCGGAGAGCTGTGCCTGTCTCCAGAGACCTCCGTGGAGAGGAGAAGGATGCTCTGTCCCATCAGTGCTCCTCCATGGGCAGGTATTCATCCCCCAGATAGGGCTACATGGAGCCATCACCCTCTGGCTGGGGACAGGAGACCCAAGGGCTCCCTGCCCACGTGGGATCTCCTCCAGCTCAGTCCACTCGTCCTCCTGCCCTCCCGATGTGGTACCTGGGCTGTGGGAACCTTATTTGACTTATCCCTGCACCCCACGCTCAGCTGAGGATATAAAGGGGGAGGGATAAACCCCAGTGTGATGGAAGCTTGACAGTCTGAGCGACTTCTGGATGGTGTCATGCTAGAGGTGGCCAATTTAACGTGACGTGCTGTAGGTACAGTTTCCCTTTGGGGAAGTGCACTGAGTGCTTCCCTGCAACAGGGTACCGGTGACAAAGCAGGGCAAAGCCTCCCCGCTCAGCACCCGGGAGACCTGGAGCCTCCGCAACTGGGAAGCTGATGTTAGTGGAAGTGCTCAAACAGCTGGTTTGGGGTGTTTGGGGGTTCAGAGATAGCCTGGCCAAAGGTGGGCGCAGGGATGCCAGCTGAGGGCTTGCCACCCCCGTGGGCAGTGTCACGGTGGGGCTGTGTCCTGGGGGGAGCAGGGCTGGCTTGCCCAGTGCCCTACAGACCTACAGAACACCCTGTGTCTGGTCTAGACACGAGAGATGTGCCTGGGAAGGGAGTGCCAAATGACTGGGGGTGAAGAGCTGTGCTCACCCTGTTGATGTTCTTGCCCTTTATTTTGCTGCTGTTACATGAAAATATTTTTAAAGCCTGCAAGCCCTGTTCCTCGTGGCGTTCCAGGAGCTGCAGATAAAGGAAAGTGAGTCAGAGCCATGCTGAACCTGCTCTGGTCTGTAACTGGGACTGGGCTCTGCCTTCCACTTTCCCACTGACAGTGCTCCCAGAGATGGTGTCGCTGCCTGGGAGGGCAGGGGGATGCTTTGGCCGTTTCCTGATATCTCAGAGTGGGACTTTTTTCCTTTTCTGGAGTCTCCACAGCACTGAGAGCACTCAGGCTCCAGGATGGTGCAAGGGGAGGCTGGTGTGGATGTTCCCTGAGGTGAACTCCATCCAGTGCTGCTCTGACAAGAGACACTGAGAACTTCAGAGGGGCCTTGTGGTGTTTTTCTATGACTCCTAGTGACCGGTCCTGTTAACCTCTTTTGCTATCTTTGTCCTTCTGTTTTGCATCCCTAGCCCAAGAAATCTGGACCCTGGAGATCTTTCCTCAGTGACGTGGCTGTTTGGACACAGCCTTCTCCTCCTTCTGCTGCAATAGCAATGCTAGTGTCCCCATGCAGCTGCAGTGAGGTACGTGCTCTCCTTCTCCGTTGGGACTCAGCTCCTTCTTGACCTGGTGCAAAACCCAGGGCCGTCCTTGTGCCAAGGGACCCGCGGCAGCTGGACACTTGTCCCTCAGTAGGAGTAAACTCTAAGCTTGTGTCCTTCTCAGGACAACTTCAAGTCCAGACTAGATAAAGCTTTGAGCAGCCCACCCTGAATCCACAGCTGAGGTTCTTTTCAGTGTGAATTTTCCTGTGATCCAGGGCACCTGGTCCAAAAGGTCCCCGCAGCACCAGCCTTGACGGGTGGGCACCCTCCCCAGAGGTTTGCTGGGCATTTATGACTTGAGAGGCAAGCTCTGCGCCAGTGCCCTGGGCTGCCCACCCCTCCCACACCTTCCTACCCCTCACAAGAGGCTTCTTGCTAGAAAACCAGGGATCCGCTTGTGAACTTCCCTGCCCTTCTGTGCTGCTGGTGGTTATTTAGCAGAGCTGGTGTAGCCCGTGACCAATTCCTCCTCCCTCACCATCTCTGCTTTTCTCCTCCAGGAGCTCTTGGCTTGGGCAGGAGCAAACCCTGGGCTCGGCGTAGCCGCGCCGGTGGCTATGGAGTGATCTGTGCTCTGGGTGCGTGGGCACAGCGGGGAGGCTGAAGCTGGCTGCCCGGGCACTGGGGCAGCTGAATGCGCCCTGCCCACGCGCTCCTCGCCTCTGCCATGAATGATGCATCGACGATGGATTATGAACTGCTCTCCCCCTCCTTGGTTGAGCACCCAGCCGGCACTGCGGGTATGGATGCTGAGCAGAAAACTGTCTTTGCCTTTGTCATCTTCCTCCTCGTCTTCTTGGTGATGCTGATGGTGCGCTGCTTCCGCATCCTGCTGGACCCCTACAGCCGCATGCCCGCCTCCTCCTGGACTGACCACAAGGAGGGGTTGGAGAGGGGCCAGTTTGACTACGCCTTGGTGTAGAGGGCAGGGATGGGGCGAGCCTGGGTGCTCTGTGTGCCTCCCACCCCAGCTGGCCCCGGCCCCGGCCCCCCCTTCCTCTGTGGTGTTGCCCTGGGCCAGCACGGATGCTCCGGGCAGGGAGGTGAGGTCGGGCTCTTGTCCGGGGTGGGTTTTCTAGGGGTTTCTCTCTTTTCTAAGCACTTTTCAGTTCTCTTCGCAGTCTGCAGGACTCTTGGAGAGATGTGTTGGAGAGGTGATACGATTCCGCGCGGTCCCTGCTGCCCACCGTGCCCCCGGGCAGCTTCGCGTGCTGCAGTGAGGGGCAGGAGGCGATGGGGCAGGGCACGGCGGGACCTGCCCTCAGCCACGGCCCACCGGGCTCCTGGTCTGGGTGGCTCTGCCTGGTGCCAGGCCAGAGCTTTGACCCCCACCTCCTCCTGCCCCCCATGTCGCCCTCGTCTGTGTCCTCTGGGGAGTGCTGACCGTGGTCCAGTGCGTGTGTGTGTGTGTCCCTGTAGCTGAGCTGTGTCTGTCAGGGGGTTTATAGGCACCAGACCCAAGTGCTGGCTTTGTTCCTCTCTGTGTGGCAGCCCCAAGTGCCCCCCCCCTCCCCTTCCCCACAAGTGACGGGGAGAAGGACACCCCCCCACGCACAGCCCCCTCTCGGCGTCCAGCCCTGCAGCCTGCTCTCTGCTTTACACCGTAGTGACCTGTCCCTGCCCAACTGGTGAAAATGGTCTGAGCAAGGTGCAGTCATGCAGCTCCCTGCAGACCTGCCTGGGTGGCCCTGCTGGGATCCCAGGAGGGATCAAAGGTCCCACACGACACTTGGGAGATGCTCCTCAGCCAGCCCAAGCCTGGCAGCCTCCCACCGCTATCTCCCATTCTGGCCAGTCCCTGCTCCAGCAGGATCTGGGTGGCCTCCCCGTGTCCAGGGGGTTGCTGGGGGTGGCCGGCCCTTCCCTGGCCATCCTGCATCTGGGTATCAGAAGGGCTGTGTAAGCATTCGAGGGGAAAACAAGGCTGTCCTCCTGCCCCTCTGTGGGAACCATGCCTGTTGAGTAGGGGTGCTGTAGCTAGCCGCGGGGCTAGCAAATGCCATGGTGGGTTATGGCTGTGGGCCACTAAAGCTTTGTACTCAGTGATCGGAGCCCATGGGGGAGAACCTCTTCCCCACCATGGAAATAAAGCTGCACTGTGCTAACCCCACACAGCTCTTCCTCTGCTCTTTGTCGTGTCCCAGCGAGCTCTTGGAGGAGCACTGGTGGTGCCCAAGCAGTGGTGGGCTGCCCCCTCTCTCCCTCTCGGAGCCAAGACCCCCCCCCATCTCCCAGCACCAGCAGCTCCTGAGGGTTTGGATGCCATGTGGGACAGGAGCGTCACCACCAGGCCACGGTGCTGTGGGTGTCCTGCACCCGGACACGTGCCCTGTCTGGGACATGCAGAAGGTGCTCCCTGGCCACAGCAGGGCACTGGGCCAGCGTGGCTGGGCAGGGACAGCCACAGCCTGGCCACGTCCACTGCGGGACCTGTGGGCTGCGCCTGGCTGTGCCCGCTACATCAGTCTGGGGCCGCATGACGAGTGCAGCCACCGCAGGCAGCAGCCTGGTGGGTTCTGCTGCATCCAGAGGGACCTTCTGGATGTGTGGGTGCTGGTGACCCCGGGAGCGTCCCCACAGTCGCATGAGCACTGACATGGAGGAGGCTGCAAGGAGTCACTGCTGGGTGCTGCAGAGAAGTGACTGGCAGGACGTGGGTGCCCAGCACCTACTGCCAAGCTCAGGAACCTGTGTGGGGGACAGTTTCCAGCTGCCTGAGCTCAGTGGGAACGTGTTTTCCATTGCCCAGGTTTCACGGCGGGACTGTCCCCCCCCTCACAGCGGTCCCCTGCTGTCCCCCCACCCAGCGAGGCGGTGGGTCCCTCCTGGGCGCAGGGATGCTGCGGCCCTGCCTGCCCTCTTGTGGCACATCGGCTCTGCGGCTGGGCTGGGAGGCCAGGAGGGACTTGCTAAAACCGAGAATGTCAGCCTGGAAGGAGGGTTTGAGCTGAGCTCAACCAGCTGGACCCTGACTCCGGGACACATGGGACACAGGGTGGCCAAGCCCCTGTGTCATCGCGCACCCTGCAGGGTCTGGACAAGCCCAGCAGTGCACAACCTCTGCGTCACACAACCACAGCTCGGCAAAACCCCCAGCAAGCTACCGAAGTGGTGCTGCCCCTCAAAGCGGGGCGAGCCAGGCGCCGAGGGTGACCATGACACAGGCAGAGCCAGCGTCTCCCCCGGCCACAGCACCAGGTGGGTGAGCCGGGTGGCAGCAGGAGGTTTTACCTCTGCTCTCCTGCATCCCCTCTGCCTCCTCACCGCCAGCCCTTCTCGTGCCCCCCCCCCATCCCTGTCTTGGCCCCTGTGACCTCTCCGCAGCCCAGCAGCAATGATGGGGTGCAGACACCCCCTCCCCTGGGCTCCAGCTCAGCCCTCGGGCATCGCTCTCCTTCCACTCCCCTTGCTGGAAGAGAGCAAAGGATCGGGAGGGAGAGGCTCTGGTGATGCGGCTGTCCCTCCTCCCTCATCTGCCTCCTGCTCCAAGGCGTTGGGAAGGACCCCAGAGCCCCCCTGGGGGCTGAGACAGGCCGGGGTGGGGGAGCCGAGGGAGGCTGTAAGAACCAAACTGCATCCCTGAGGAATACAGAGAAGAAACCAGTTCAGGCTTCCTCCAGTCAGAGCCAGGACTGGTCCTGCCACGCTCCCGGGCTGCCTCCGACGTGGCCTCCCCACTGCCCCTCGACCCCAGCAGCTGCCCCCAGACAAGGAGGAAGACACAGAAACACTTAACCCAAAATAATTTTATTGTTGCTGTTGCTTCTGATACAAAAAGGAATTCCACAAAGAGCCACCTCTCTGTGTGGGACAAGGGGGGCACAGGTTTTGGGTTTCAACGCTTCCCCCCCAAAAAAAACAACCAGCAAGAAAATGTCAATACAAAAAAAAAAATCCAAAACCAAACCAAAACCAAAAAACACCGCACCAGAGAGGAATGAAGGAAACCTTGAGCTATTTCATTTGAGATTTTGGCTCAACACACACACACAAACCCATCTCTGCTAATTTATTATTATTAATAGTTTTTTTTTTTTTTTAAAAAAAAGAGCACCTGTTGGAAAAACAAAATAAACCAAAAAAAAAAAAATAAAAAAACCCCCCAAACATCAGGCCACCCATCCTGTCACAAGCTCTGGGAC